GACCAGGGCCCAGGGCAGTGTCCTGGGTGACACCCTGTGCCCCTCTCCCCGTAGCCTGATTGGTGAGAGTGTCCTCGGTGGGTGGCCGTCCTGGTCCCCAGGCGCGAGGACTCTCGCTGGAAGGGCCTTGGTTTGTGTCATCTGATATGGCTTTCACAACCTCCCCCGACGACACCGAAGGCACCGTGGACTCATTTACCAGGAGGTCCTTGGAGGCTAAGATGACTTGCTACACACAAGAGAGCGGAGGGCACGTGGAGGCCGGGAACCACTCTGATCTGGGAATCTGTCGCCACGTGGTTTGAGAGAAGCTTACTGTCTGGTGCTGTTGAGCCGGCGGAGCCCCTGGGTGGGGGCGGGGGGGGGGGGAGGGACGGGGGCTCGGGCCGCACCCCCCAGGGCTTCTTTCCTTGGAGAAAGGCCAGCTCATCGGAGGCTGAAGGCCCAGGCCGCTGGCCAGGGGCCGGGGGGGAGGCGAGCCAGCGTGCGAATCCGTCAGGACGACCAGGTGGAAGGGAGGCGGGGGCCCCGGATTGAAAACTTGTGGTTCTCTTTTCTCTTTAACATCAGGAAGGCTGTGAGACGGCAGCCAGGGACCACGGTGTCCTCTGGAGAAGGAGAAGCCTGGCGCCTCTCCGAGAGCCCAGTCTAGGCTTCCCCTAACTTGGCCCCGTCCCACCCGAGCTCCAGTGACTCAGGGCTTGTTCCTTATTTTCTCCGAGAGCCGTTATATAACATGAGTGTTTTCCAAAGGCTCCCATTGGCCGTGGCTGCGGCCGCCACCCCTACCGTGGTACCAGGAATCCTGTTTGGCGCTGTTGAGGTTTTGTGCAGTCAGTCCACCGGGCACACCTCCCCGTGCTTCCCGCCGGAGGGCTCGCGGGCGAGCGCCAAGCCTCGATCCCAGCAGGTCAGACCAGACAAGGTTGAGCCCTGTGGCTGGGAGTGGGCGAGTGGGGAGATGGCCGGGCATGGGGGTTCCATGTGGGAACCCGAGTGACCTGCAGCTCGGAAGATGCCGCTCACAGCTTTTCTGGAATCCATAGAGCGTCCACCAGGGCCCTCCTGCCGTTTTATGATGACCCAGAGCCTGAGGGACCTTAGAAATCGACGGGGAACCGGAGGCTTAGCACTAAGGAGCTGATGGAGGCACATGGCAGCCAGAAAGCAACAGGCCCGGCGGGGGAGTAGCCACCTGTGTGCACCGTCAGGGATACGCGGAGGGCACGCCCTGCCCCTGCCCCTGCCCCTGCTGTGGCCGGTTCCTGGAGGCTCTGCCTGGAGGCCCTGAGCTGCGAGGGCCCTGGAGAGGACTTGGTGG